TGGATCTCGGGGGGTAGTTCGTTCCAGAGGGCGGGGGCACCCACAGAGAAGGCCCTCCCCCTGGGGGTCGCCAGCCGACATTGCTTGGCCGACGGCACCCTGAGGAGACCCACTCTGTGGGAGCGTACCGGTCTATGGGAGGGAATCTGTGGCAGAAGGCGGTCTCGGAGATAACCAGGTCCTAAACCTATCCCTATCCCAAAAGGTGTAAAAGAAGACTGCATTCTAGCAAGTTATTGTTTGATTTATATATTAATAATATGATTGAAGTCTTTGCTAAATCACATTTTCACTTCCCATTCTTGCCCATTGTCCATGGTTCCCATCCTTCTCCTTCTTCTGATGATGCAGCTATTCTCTCCATAACACAGATAGACCTGGGTAGACAGAATGGGGTATCTCAGTGTAGCCAGCTCGGCCCAGCCAGCCCACCACTGCCAACTTGCCTCTGCCAATTCACTGCCACCAAGTAATTGCAAGACAACTCAACACAGCCAATTCGCTATGGGGACAATTTGCCGTGGGCATCCAGAGGAAGAGCATGGTGGGCAGGCAGGCAAGCAAGCAGGTGGGCAGAATGCAGAGCGGCGGTGGAAGCAGTGGATAAGGCAGGCAGCAGGGGAGGCAGCGGAAGCTGGGGGCCTCCCATTTTCACACCTCCACTGCCGGTCACTTGCTCTGAACTCTACCCACTTGCTTGCTCACCTGCCCCCCAGCTCTCCCTCTAGTGGGAAGCCCCTGGCTACTGCACTCTGCACTCTGCCCACCTGATTACTCACCCGCCTGCCCGCCCTACTCTCCCTCTGGCTGCCTGTGGTGAGTTGTCCTCACAGCAAATTGGCTGTGCTGAGTTGTTCTGCAACGATTTGATGGTAGTGAGTTGGCAGAAGCAATTTGGCATTGGTGAGCTGGCAGCAGGGAGCTGTCCATGCCGAACTGACTGCACTGAGTCGTCTAGACGCTTTAAAGCATTATCTTCCTATTGACCTAGAGCAGGGCCCCCCAACCTTTTGGGCACCAGGGACCAGTTTTATGGAAGACAAATTTTCTATGGAGGGGGGGGGGGAATGATTTCATACGCTACCTAAATCCCACATATACACAGATGAAACTTTGCTCACTTGTGTGGACTGGTACTGGTCCACAGCCCGGGGATTGGGACCCCTGACCTAGAGAATGCTGTAAGATCAATTACTCTAAAATAACAATTCTATTATTTTCCAGGAAGCTTTTCATGTCCCTGATTACCTAGAAGATTAACAATAGACCTATTGAGCAAGTTATAACCTTAAAGTATCTAGGCATATACTTTAAATCATGTACTCACTGGATCAATCAAGCAAAGAATCACATTATCAGAGTCCTAAAACCATATTTCGCCATTATTGCATATGCATGTCAACACAGTAATAACTATGTAGCAACAGCTATCAAATTATTCAAGGTAAATTAGCAGGGCCAGTTATATTGTTCAAAAGAAACAGGTCTACAAAAAGAGGAGGGGGAGTTGCACTATATGTAAGAGAACACTACATATCTATAGAAATGCACATGATCCAAGATAAAATCTCTCCAGAATGTATATGGGTCAATATAAAAGAGAAAAAAAGTGACATTGCCATAGGTGTATATTACAAGCCACCCAACCAATCAGAAGAAATAGATAAACTCTTTGCCAACCAGTTAACAAATATAGGAAGTATACCACAGTAGTAATGGGAGACTTCAATTGGGAGACAAACTCTGCAGTGAGTTGGAGATCAAACAAATTCCTAACCAACTTAGCCAACAACTTTGTCACCCAAAAGGTGGAGGTGGGAACTAGATGTAAAGCTATACTGGACTTAATCCTTACTAATAGAGAAGAAGTGATAGAGGGAATTGAAATTGCCGGAACCCTGGGTGAAAGTGACCATGTCATACTGGAATTTAATATAATGCAAACACTAGTGATAGAAAACAATCCAAGCAGTGTCTTAACATTCAAAAAAGCTGACTTTAACAAATTCAGAGAGAACCTAGGAAAGATCCCATGGATGGGAATCCTAAGGGGGAAAACAACACAAGAAGCATGGGAAACTCTGAAAAATGCAATCATAAAAGCCCATATCAGCACAATACCACTGAAAAAAACAACAAGAAATTCAAGAAGAAATCAGCATGGCTGCACAAAGATCTCTCTGACAAACTGAAAGACAAAAAATGACAAATACAAAAAATGGAAAAAGTGGCAAATAACTAAGGCTGATTATCAGCAGACAGCCAGAACATGCAAAGATGAAGTCAGGAAAACAAAGACTTGCAACAGAAGAAAGATGAAGTCAGAATGAACAAAGACTTGCAACAGAAATCAAGGCTAATAAAAAAAAGTTTCTTCCAACACATTAACAAGAAGAAAAAAGTCAAGGAAACAGTAGGTCCACTAAAGAGAGAATATGGCAAGGAAATAATAGGCAACAGGGAGAAAGCAGAACTGCTTAACGCATACGTTGTATCAGTCTTCACACAAAAAGAAACTATAGTCCAACATACCCCAAAAAAAAAACACTGCAAAAGACAAACTAGAAACAAAAATTAAAATAAGCAAGAAAATGGTAAGAAAATACCTATCCGACCTTGATGAGTATAAATCACCGTGACCTGACAGATTACATCCCAGAGTTTTGAAGGAGCTGGCAGGTGTTATCTCAGAACCATTGCACCACATCTTTCATAAATCCTGAAGCACCATGGAAGTACCTGAGGATTGGAAAAGGTCTGATGTGGTTTCCATCTTCAAGAAAGGGGGAAAAAATGGACCCAGGAAACTACAGACCAATCAATTTAACATCAATATCTGGGAAGATCCTAGAAAAGATAATAAAAAACCAGATCTGCAAACTACTAGAAGCAAACAAATTTATAACTAGTAGCCAGCACGGGTTTGTTAAAAACGGATCATGCCAAACCAATCTTATTTCATTCTTTGACAACGTGGCTAAACTAGTAGACCAGCAAAATGCTGTGGACATAGTATATTTAGATTTCAGTAAGGCATTTGATAAAGTAGACCACAACCTACTCCTTGGTAAACTAGAAAAACATCACTACCAGATGGATCTGTAGCTGGCTGGCAAACTGTACTCAACAAGTAGTCCTTAATGGCACCATATCCACATGAAGAGAAGTAAGCAGTGGGGTACCACAAGGTTCCGTCTTAGGCCCAATACTCTTCAATATATTCATAAATGACTTAGATGAGGGAATTGAAGGGGAACTCATCAAATTTGCAGATGACACCAAACTGACAGGAGTAGCCAACACCCCAGAAGACAAACTCAGGATCCCAAAAGATCTTGACAACTTGAACAATGGGCCCTATCCAACAAAATGAGT